CAGTTGTTTGACTCTGTTAAAAATCAATATAAGTGTTTGGTTAATTAATTTTTTCTAGGGAAAATAGCACTTTTTCCCCCTGAGTTATGTACTTATAGTACTTTTTCCCCCTGAATTGTTCAAGTGGCTGTTTTTCCCCCTGAAATGTTAAATGGACATATTTACCCTTAAAATAAATATTTTATTTATTTTTCTTCTCCAACAAATTATGACCATAATTTGGTTCAAACCAAACAGACATTATAGCAACTAAACAGAAATATTCCAATTACAATTTAGAATCGAAATTCGATATTTAGATTTTATTAAAATCGTGAACCGGAACGGCTGGTTCATGTTCCAAACTGAAAAAATAAAATACATTTATTGTTGAATTCAGACTATTTTAAAATAAAAATAAAATTTTAAAATAAAACGGTTCAAAATTGCGAACCGGATCCGGAACCGCCCGTTCACGGTTCAGGATCTAATTTTTTTAATTCATAATTTTAATAAATTGAAATCCAAATATTGGGTTCTAGATCTGAATCATAACCGAAAACTTTTAATTCGATTGCTATAGTGTCAGGTTCAGTTCGAACCGAACCGTGGTCATCCGTACGTATACGCAATAATTTGATGGAGAAGTAAAATAAATAAAATGTTTACTTTAAGGGTAGAAATGTCAATTTAATATATCAGGGAGAAAAACCACCACTTTTAGAATAATTGAGGGGGCTAATGTGCTTACCTAAGTAATTCAGGGGGGAAAAGTGCTATAAGCATACAACTCAGGGAGAAAAAATGCCATTTTCCCTTTTTTCTAATGTTAAAATGCTAAATTTCAAAAACCTTTCTAGGATCAGCTAATCTTATCAACTAGTTATACCCTCTAATTAACCCAATCAGCTAATAGCGAACAACCATTTATCAAACATAGCTTATATATATTATCTATCTGACATGAAGGTTGAGAAGTAGTGTGTATGTGAACTCCTAACTCTAAAACTTGAAACAAACAAATTAAATTATTGACAGGAACCAGTACCACCTAACATTTGATTTCTATCTTTAATTTGAAGGACAAATATTAGCTACTTCATTCTCTCTCCCTATGCATTATCTCATCAACATATATATATAAATACAACTGCAGGCTCATAACCAAAGACCTCCAAATGCCACAGAAGTTGATCATCATTTTCCTCCAAAGATTTGAAGGACACTACCAAAACAAATGTCTGTGTCATATGCTTCCCTATGACAGTAAAAGCAACGAAACCTTATAACCATAATGCCATTGCAGGAGACTGTAATAATGCAAATGCAAAAGAGAGGTAGTAACCAGAAAAGTTGCTAGACTTGGATAATGCAATCAGTATTTTGCTACAATTACACTCAATCAAGAGATTATATATATATATATATATATATATATATAGAAAAACGCTCATATGTGGTCATGTCATTAGGTATGGTCGTGTGGTCG